GAATATGACATACAGTGGGGTGACGGTGGTTTGGAGTCAGGAGTCAACTGCCATGTAGTAGACTTTTTTGCCGCATGAGTATACGTTGGCCAGGGTGCACCACGTAGAGGCAAGTCTATCACACACCCCTTGAGAAAAAAATTAATTTCGACAAAATAGTACCCATGTCATGTTTCGAAAATCACCATATTCGAACACCCTAGGCGTGGATAATTGATTAACTTTATTTGTCATCATTGTAGCATGGATTTCATTTCAACAGTTGGCTCAAAAGACAAGAGACTTGGAGCTATTTAGGTGCTTTCACTGGATGGGAGTGGAGTTTAAAAATTCACAACCTTCTTCCGAAATCGAATGGTTATTGTCCCCACTTACCCTCAAGACCATGTGTATGGAGGGGGGGGGGGAGTAGACGGGTTTGTGATCAGCAAATCAAGTTTTGAGGACTGGCGGTTAGTTTGGTAGCATCGGAAAGCATTCGTGGAATTCTAGAAGGGCATAATGTCCTAACTCTGCTCATAAATTTATGGGGATGACAATAGTAGTGCACATAATTTCGGCATGTCCATCCCAATTTCATATTCATTCCCTCCGTACCAATTCCTTTTTTTTTATTCTCTTAAATTTTTACAGCCAGATTATCTCTCCTTATTTACTTTTACTCGTTCAACATCCCACCTGCCCTACGCTGAACTTATTGCCTTAGAAATAGATCGAGGACTAGGGCTTCTGAAGATGAGATCTTTAAGCCATACCCGGTCAAACTTACAGATCCACCTAATGAGTGCAGTTCTTCCTTATACACCTCTTAAATCACGCGCACACACACACTCACGTTAGGCAGTGACACTTCTATCATCTTTCTAACAAAAAACAATGATCACTTGGGTGCATGCCAGGCTTTCTTAGTGTCACAAAACTGAAACGACATAATATTTGATAAACCAAATTGCAAACTAGCTACTCTTCCTCAGCTCAAATATTCACGATTTCCTCTTAAAGGATTTCACTTCCTTATTTGAAGAATAGGAACGCTCTGTACCCCCAATTGGCATGCTGAACACCCGTAGTTTTGTTGTTCCGGGATAGTCTTAACCTTCAGTATTCTCTATCACAAGCTAACAAGCCTCGACATTGTGGTCAGCGGCAGATGTCACCGAAAGCAACAGTTCAACACTCAGTGCCCATTCAATTACCGCCTGGCATATATATAGTTCCATTCAGTTTCACTTTAAATTTACGCAGCAGCAGGAAGTAAAGTTCGAAAAGAAAATGTTTTTTTTCTAAAATAACTAGGGAGGCAGGCGAATAGATGGATAGGGCGGTTGATATTAACGAAATGTCCAAATTATTAAATCAACAGCAAATAAATGAGTTCATCACAGCGATTACAAAATTAATTGGGGGTTGGAAAGGATTCGGAGTTAGTTATCATTTCTCATAATCACCTGATTCAGAGGATCCAAATCACCAAACGGGTTTTTATCAGCCGCTAAACAGTCTCGTGACTCTCTGTACTCTGCATCGGTGAAGTCTCTTGCAAGATAGTGGCGACGGTTATTTGGAGACTCGTTCGTGCTTCTATCAGACAATGATAGATCTACTAAATGAGACGGTAAATCCTTGAACACGCCGTTGATCTCAGTTTCTGGCTCGTTTTCATGAACTTCCTGCATCTTCTCTTTATTTTCCTGAAGTTTCTTCTCTGGCTGAAAAGTTGAAAAGATGACAGCATTATTTGAATAATAAGTAAAATATCAAAAGCATGGGAACAGCACACACACAAACAGCAAGAAGTAAAGGCAAATGAGCACATGGTAAGCAGACTAAATGAACAAATCGAAGGCAAAGTGCATACGCATGCAGTATCAGATCCGTCTATCTTGACTGTAACCTACGAACCTTGTTTTCTGCAAATCCCAGAGCAGACATCATATCCGAGAGTTGAAGATGTTGATCAGAGAACAGCGAGGAGGTGAAATCCTCAGGCTTAGAGGGGCCATTCTTCTTAAAAGACTTGCTTACTTCAGAAGGGATATCATTAGAAGTACTGGCATTTCTTGACTTGCTTGATGAAGGTCCAACAATAATATCTCTACGAGAAAGTGATTGTTTAGCAGCTAGACCAACTATCGTGTATATGGCACCTAGTTGGTTAGATTGATTTAGGGCGCCTTTACGTTGCTGGCACAGACGACCAGCGAGTTCGCAAACATCTGCGATACGCCCAAGAACTTCTGCATGGAGAATAGCAACAGAAGAGGCTACGAAAACACCTCCTAAGCCACCTCCATCTTCAGAAACAACTGCTATGGGATGGGTCAGACTCCTCTGTTGTTTGTAGAAATTCACTGCCATCTGAACAAATGCTGTGAAGGAAGCAATTGAACCAGGATCACTTGCGTTTGGAGTAGGCCCCGAATAACAAAGATGTACAACTGTTCGTGTCTGCTGACTTTCACAGTTACGAAGGGTCAGGATCCGTTCAATGCATGTTGACTTTGAGATGGAGTCTACAGAGGGAGACTGGAGAGAGACACTATCTGGACGAGTGAGTTCAATAGCTTGCAAACGGATTTCAAGAGCTAAATTCCCAGTCCCAACATGAATTCGGGATCCAACCTTCATAGGTGGTAGATGCTGAGGAACTCTTAGGCTACTAGCTGGGTCACCATAAGCTCCTTCAGCGTAGCTCTCTGAGGGGTCAAGGCTGGAGGGAAGAATGGAATTTCGATGGCGAGGTGGAAGTGCCATAATAACCAGTTCACAAGCTTGATCAAAGATCATATTCCAAAAGTCAACGACTGTATTCGGAAGGGGAGCCTGAGTTAGAATGTATCGTGGACACCATTCACCTAGAGATGACACAAAGTCGAGATTGCTAGCGTTTATGTAGTCATCTTTTTTAGATGAACTATCGTGTTTTAGTTGAACACGATTGAAATCATATGCCATGCATTCATGGTGACGATTCTTAGAAGCACTGCAGCGTGCGGCTGCTTGGGTTGGTCGTTTTCCTGTCACTTGTGAAGCGATTTCGCTTGCACGAGACCAAGATTGTTCAAGGCGGGTAATTTGGCGGGAATCATTGATACTCTGAATTGGGTCGTTCATTGTTTCTATCCAGGTCAATAGACGCTCAGTAGCGTCAATAAATCGATTGAGTGCCAGTTGATCAGAGAGAGAGTCAAGGTTCAATGATGAACTAGATGTTGGGACAGATTTGGTAGACTCACCATGCGTTGAAACTAAACCTGTTTCCGAAGTATCATAGATGGCTCTTAAGTGCTTTTCGCGACGTTGTACTTCTAAATCCGCCTAAAATGAACATCCAGATAGCACAAGCAATAGGCATTTCTGTCCCAGTTATTACGAAACACAAACTATTATGAAATAATAAAATTGACAATCAACTTGAGGATGGTTGGTGAGAAAATAGGTATTAAGTTTAGAGAACGCAAGATTTTAAGCAAATGAGTTAGAACTAGTAAAAAATAACAAAATTAGCATCTCCGTCGAATAAATCACAAAAGACGAAAAGTCTACTTTGAAAAATTACCTTTCCAGCTTTCGATTTCGCAGTCTGAATAAAATTTTAGACAATAATGCGTTTACACTACTGAATATTTTAAGCAAATGTTTCCACTAATGCCGCATGGGGTCAAAATGTCCTAATAAATCACCTTAAAGCCTCAAGGTAACTTTCCATCTGATTTTGTTAAGGATATCTCATGGCATGCCCATCTGTAAGAAATTCGCCTATCTTTCTGATTTAGCATCTCTTTTCCATTACATGCCTAGTGGTTCTCTCCATCTACATATGGTAAAGAGCGTCACCTTGATCTCATGATACGAGTGTTAATGTTCCATTAATGCCCCCAATCTACTTCGTTTGTAAAGTAGGTCGTTGTTCCTTGTCTGAATGTACTTCACATCTGTATAATAAAAGGAGCGATTTCACAGATCTGTTTGATACCACTTTACACCAAAGGACTACGTGTTTGGATTATGCTTTATGATTACTGCCTTCCATGAAAACTTGCCTGAGTCAAAACTGTTGGTGTTATCGGTTCTTTTCCATGATCTTGGGGTGTGTTAATAGAATCAAGAGAAGTGGCCGACTCAGGAACAAATCCCGCTGCAGTCGGTTCTGGTAATACCAACGGCAGTGGCGTCGTATCTTCAGGTAAGACTTCTTCAAATAGATTGGATGTCTTGACTTCGGCAACTGGAATAGGCGCTTCTTTCCTAACCTCCTTTGGATTAGAGGTACCGGCGACCGATTTCTCCACCTCTTCCTTCAGTTTTTCCTTCGGTACTGCCGGTGCACCATTTTGTTGTTGATGTGGATGCAATGTAGCAATGGGCGAAGGATTATAAACAGGCGTCATTCCTGGTTGCTGATATGCGTAAGGATATTGTTGTCCCGCATAGTACACTTGGTTATAGTTTGGCACTCCAAAACGAGCATACGGCATATAAACTTGAGGCGGTTGCTGCGGAGGCACCTGCTTATTGCCGTTAGGCTGCGGAATTACAGGAGGTGGTGGTCTAAAAGGTTGGGAAATTGAAGTAGACGTGACAGTCCCATAACCTTTACCCATCATCTCCGAGAACTTCATTTTCTGCGCGTATGTGGTAGCAGTTTGAGTACTAGTCGTATCAGGAATGACTGACTTTGATTGAGCAACGGTAAGAGGAGGTTGAACAATTGGTTGTGTCATAGGCCGAGGAAACGATGGAGATGGTACTCTATGTTGAGTTAGACTCATCATTTCAGAGAATTTTAATGGGGCTCTGGTTGCAGATTGAGTAGAGTTAGGGGGTAGACCCGACGGTTTAAATTGAATAGGCTGAGACATTGGTGATGTAGATCGAATAGGTTGCGATATCGGAGGTTGCATTGTTGGAACCACAGCTTTATATTGCTGTCGTTGTTGGTCTAACATTGCCGGGACTGGTTGAACGGGAGTTGGATTTCGAACTTGTGGATAAGCTGGCTGAACTGGTACACTAAATTCGTGTTGAAAAGGAGAAGTGTTTGAACTACAATGCATTTGTGGTTGACTCGGCATTCTAGGGAGAGAAGTTTGACTTCCAGATTGAGGAATGGGAGAGAGATTTTGTTGAACAGGTGGAACTGTAGGTCGGTACTGCTGTTGCGATTGATTTACCATTCCTCCAAGAGAACCTTGACTACTAGATTGTGGAAGAGGTGATGAATTTTGTTGAACAACCGGTGCTAGAGGTCGACAGATCTGGTTTATCATTCCAGGAAGAGATGACTGGCTACCAGACTGAGAAATTGAAGATAAATTTTGTTGAAGAGGTGGAACAGCAGGTCGATATCCAGGTACAGATGGAAAGTGTTGAGGACGCTGGCCGATTGCCTGGTTTGATTGAGGCAATGGAGAACTTGACGGATATTGAATACAAGAAAAGTAAGGACTCTGGTAGCAAGATCCAGGATATCCTAGCATCTGCGATGATTGCATGAACTGCCGCTGTTGTGACTGTCCAGTAGGATCAGGAGCAGGTGACGGCTGAGTCTAGAACGACAAAAAATAATCAATTGACAGGAGTATGACAGTAAACGGCTAATCAATAAAAGTTTTTATAAACCTAAATTGGAAGTTTAACTACATTCTTTTTTGAAAATAATAAATAATAATAATAAATAATAAAAGCTAATCACTAAAACTACTCCACATAAATCCATCATTTAAATAAATTTCGATAGAGTGCGATTCCATTAAGATAAAACTGGTTAAGCCAGATTACATTTGTTATTCACTTTTGGCATGTTACTCCTTTTCATTTATCTGCAAACAGTCAATGAGAACATCTCTTTTCCTTTAAAATCCACTTATAAATGCGTTCTGACATTTCAATGACTGGTGAACATTAAAAACGATTAAGGAAAAGGAAGTATAGGGAATAAAAGAACATCTGATTCATCACGAAGCAATATGATAAGAAAGGACAGCCAATTGCATCTTCTCAGCGAGTAGAGACGAGGATATCTAAAATGTTGCCTCTTCCGAAAACCCACATGAGCACACGAGCAAGAACCAAGCCCGTCTTGGGGCCATTTAAGAAAAGAGAAGTCGATTGAAGAAGGAAGCGGCTTGCAATCGAACTAGACAGAATACACCACGGAAGCATTAATGGAAGTAGTGATAAGAAATAAGGATAGCAACGAACTACGGATATCAAATAAATTTTTCTATTAGGTTCACATTCACAATGGATACTTCGCACTTTCCTTACTAAAATAATTGAGACAAAAAAGGCATATCATTAGTATTCAGAGTGAAAATTGAGACAACGCCAAAGGAAAGACCAGAGGGGGGGGGGTACCAGTATGTTTTGGGGTTTGTGGAATGATCAGAGTAAATATCTCTGATAACTGAATTGCGAGAATAAATTGGTTTGAATAATTGTTCTTCATGGGAATAAATATTGGGTTGGCAACTAAGTCATTGCCGTTTTTGTTGACAGATTCACTCTATACTTTCTTTTGTTTTGTTAACGTGGCCAGAGCATCTAACCTATATTTTTTTTCTTACTGTACGGGCTTCTAGGTTAATTAGTAAAAAATTTTTTTTGTTTAGTTCTTTAGTTTTGTTTTTATCCCAATTTAAAAATGAAAGAACAGGACGTGCACTTCCGACACATTTTATTGTATTACTTCCCAAAAGGCAAGAACGCATCGCAAGCACAAAAGAAGTTATGTGCCGTATATAGAGATGAAGCCTTAAAAGAAAGGCAGTGTCGAAATTGGTTTGAAAGATTTCGTTCCGGTGATTTTTCACTGAAAAATTCACAACGATCTGGCCGCCCAGTCGAAGTGGATGAAACCCATATCAAGGCCATTATCGATTCAATTCGTCACAGCACAACACGAGATATTGCAGAGAAGCTCAATGTGTCGCATACATGCATTGAAAAAAATTAAAAACCCTTGGTTATGTCAAGAAACTTGATNTATGGATCCCTCACCAGTTAAAGGAAATTCATTTGACGCAACGGATTAGCATCTGTGATTCGCCGCTACTGAAACGCAATGAGAATGATCCATTTCTGAAGAACCTAGTTACTGGCGACGAAAAGTGGATAGTTTATAACAATGTTGCTCGCAAGAGATCATAGGTGAAGCAAGATCAACCAGCCCAAACAGTATCAAAACAGAGATTCACCAAAAAAAAGATTATGCTGTCAGTCTGGTGGGATCACAAAGGAATTTTGTATTTTGAACCCATGCCGCAGAACCAAACGATAAATTCAAATGTGTATGTTGAAGAACTCGAAAAACTGAAGGATGCAATTGAAGATAAGCGGCCGGCATTATCAAATCCGAAGGGTGTTGTTTTCCATCATGATAACGCAAGGCCCCACACATCTTTGGTTACTCGGCAAAAATTATTGGAACTGGGTTGGGATGTTTTGTCACACCCACCATATAGCCCTGACCTTGCGCCTTCGGATTACCATTTGTTTCGTTCCATGCAAAACTCCTTAAATGGTAAAATTTTTAACAACGCGGATGATGTCGGATCACACCTAATTCAGTTTTTTAATAGCAAAGACCAGACATTTTACGAAGGGGGAATTTTTACTCTGCCAGAACGATGGAAAAAGGTCATCGACAAGAACGGCCAATATCTAATTGAATAAAGTTATATTTTTAAACAAAAATTCCGAATTTGCCTTCTTATTTGAAATCGGCAATGACTTAGTTGCCAACCTAATATATTCCGTTTCGTTGATGTGAAAAGTTTGCATAAAGTAGGGTAGTTCGGTAGAGCTATTAACAACAGTTAAATCGCTCAAAGTCTAATCCTATTGAGGGAAAGCAAATTCAAACACACATTGAAATCAGAATAAGATAACCTGTGGTTGGTTAACATCAACCGATTTGATCCGTAACCACAGTTACGGAAATGTGGAATGCTCACAAGCTAATCAAAGAAATATTGTAAAAACTGTATTTACGGGGTTCACTCCTGCAGGAGGGGCAGTATTTGAAGTTGCGGAATTGAGTTGCGGAACTTGTGTTGGTGGAGATGGTGGCCAGTAGGGTTGAGCACCAGGAGCTATAGCAGGTGGTATCTGAACTGATGCATTCGGCTGCTTCTTGGCGTCATTCTGTGCTGCAGCTGCTCTGGCTCGTAACACATCGCGTAGTTTCGGTGGACCCTTAGAGGCAGTGTCGGCTGGCGGTATCGAGGCTAAATAGAGTACAGACGCTTAGTAGACTGCAGATTGTTGTCGAAGGCAATAGGTCATAAATGGTTAATAAAACCATATTTAAAATGGGTACGACATATTTCATAGCATATCCAATTAGCGATACAAAATAAGGCCAGCTTTCCGCCTTAGTCTACATGGTAGTATCTTTCGGGCTATCCTTCATTATGAAAGATACCGAAACGACACCACACAGTCTGAGCAAGATCGTATGGGAGTAGGGAGGGTTTGGACAGTAGGAAATAATTGAAAGGGCAATTGATAAGGATGATAATTTACGTAAAGGGGACACATTTTGTAGATTAAAAGTCACTACAAAGTCCATCGATTAGAAATTGAGAAAAAGAAAAGCCTGGTTTCTAAAAAAACACAAGCCTAACACAAACTAATCACCCGCCAATTTAAAATGAATCTAATCCGGGCGATTGAGTAAAGAACAAACTCCCATAAGAACATACCAGGAAGAGGCACAGAGAAAGCAGACGTTGGCTGTTGAGATGGAACTGATGGTTGAATGGTATTTTTTCTACCAAGATCATCAATGGAGCTGTTGATCTCATCCAAGTCGACGTGCAATGCTACAAGACGCTCGCTGATATCTTGATAGAAAGCCTGTCCTTCATTACACTTGAGAATCAAATCATCGTAGGCTTCACCGGAACGAACTAAATCATCGATTTCTTCCAAACGTCTATAAAAGAAGAATTAACACGATAAGTTAGGTAATTTTCAAAAATATGAACACCGCAGTCAGTCAAGTTCGGATCAAGCATAACTCGATTAGCTCTCTTGCAATCATGGGTTCTTCCAACGTCCCAATGAATTCTGATTCAGGGCCTATCTGACTTATCTCGTTTTAATTCAGGCAGCAGATTTCACTATTTAAGACGTTTGTGCTACACTGCCCACAGGCAACAGATTCACCGATTAATTCCATCAATTCCGACTTGATCCATCGATAATTAAACAAGAACCACTTTTATCCGGGTACCTCATGCATCTTCCTCATGAATAAGCAAAATAAATACTCATTCACTTTCAACTCACTGTTGTCTACGCTTGAGAATATCATGTTTCTTCACGCCCACTGTAGCGTGAGCATCAATAAGAGCCTTGGAGATATTCTCTTGAGCTGTTAAATTGAGATTCAACAAATCGACAGCCTTTTGGTGAACATCCAAGTGGCGCTGAAAGAGAGCATTACGCTCCTCTTTGGTATTAGTAGCTAGAAGTTCTTGTGTAACATCATCGGCTTGTAGATCCGCTCGCAATTTTTCTAACATCCGAGTTCGTTGAGCTCGCATCTCCTCAACCTTGGATAGAATTCTAGCGGCTTCATCAAGTCCTTCCAAGAGTTCTGAGTCTAGAAAAAAAGGCAAGAAGAATAGCATGATGATTTTAAAAATATGTCTAATTGACTGAATCGAGGAAATTGTTGCACATACTATCAAAGCTTACAAATGCCAAATGCAACATCCACAGTTCACCGTAGTTCAACAATCCTCAGCTATGATGTGGTAAAGAATATAGTGGTATCATCTATTTTCTATGGCCGTAAGGAACACTGAAAAATATAGTTTTCATGAAATTAAATTAGCTGCTAAGTAAGATCTGGATTTTTAGGCTATAACTCATTATATTTCAGCCTAGGACTATCGCCCAATGAATATTGCTTCTTATGAGAATACAAACAATTTAAAACCTTCCAGCTATAAGAAAGCAAGCAAATAGCCTGCTTATCATTGAACTCTCTCACGTCCAATACCCTCTGTTTATACCGCCGTGTCATGGTCAAAGTCAATAACCAAAAGTGCGTGGAATTGTTAAGAAAATTGACAAGTATTAGGTACATTATTAATAAAATGGTTATATAATAATAACAGAAGCCACAAATATAAACGGTTGACTCACCAGAAATAAGGTCATTTGCATTTGGAAGAGTGGCTTCTATCTCCTCCGGTGTGCGAGTAAGAATATGAAGAATTTTCAGGTGTTCTGTGAGAGCCTCATGAAGTCGTGTGTTGGATTCCTTCGCTTGAGCCTCAGCAGCAGTGAATTTGCCATGTCGGTCGATAACTTTGTTTAATTGCAATTTAATCTGGTTGATCTCAGACTCTGGTGCTTTTGACTGAAAGTAAAGTAATTTGCTACTCAAATAGTAAAAGTAGGATAGAATGTACTAAAATAAGCATGGACCACTAAGGTACTAGCGAAAATAATTAAAACTTGCCAAAGCGGCATTGAGACGCTCTTGTGTTTTTTGGATTGCATTAGAAAGCTCTTCAAGATCTGATTCAACCTCAACACTTATATCGACGAGGGCTATAAGTAGAAGAAAGAAAAGAAATTATGGCATACTGTGAATAAGTCAACAGTACAGCGAAAATATGCGTGCACGTATAGAGATATGAACTAATATTGAAGCTGGGAGGCGGATAAGCCTAACGAAATTATCATCACATGCTTTTTAAGCCGGAACCAAGGTGATAAAAAATGTTCATTGCAAGACTCATGAACCAAGCTTCTCCACCCACCCACCCCCACCCCCACCCCCCGCCCCCCGCC